CCACAGGTGTGGGTTCAATTCCAGACCTGAAGGGCAGCTAGGGGCCATAGTCTCAGTGGTTCCAACAGGCTCTATCAGACCAGCAAAGCTGGTCCCATTTTTTTTCTTCCAAATGATTTTGAGTCCAAACTCATTTTCAAATCTTGTGAAATAAGCAGCACGTGTCACACTCATTTCACTGAGAAAAGAAACCAGCTCAGAGGAGACGAGCCCAAGTACGGAGAGGCTGACACCCAGGCTGCTCGTGGGTCTCTAGTGCTTTCTAGAACACTTCTGATGGACTGGTTATGACTCGAGTGAACCCTGATAGTCACGTAACGAGGGCACAGGCCAGCAGAAGGAAACCATGCCCGACTTCAGCCACCTCCGGCTCCTCCGGGATTGACCTGGCACTCCCTGGGTTGCAGCGTGTTAATTTATGTAGTCCCAGCCACCGTGAGGTGTCAGCTCAAGGGAGTGCTTTTCCGGCCACGCTGTTCATTAGCAATCCACCTCTGGTGTTCCGTCGCTCCAGGTTTACTGGTGGAAGACGTGGCCCTCTCGGCTGCTGGTTTAGGAGGCAGCTTCTTCCTTATGGAGGGGTTTATCAGCAAGAGAGCCAATCCCACACACAAGACACACACCGAGCCAAGCCGCTGCTTTTCAGATGCTTTATTAACGATGTTTTAGTGCCTAAACAGAATCAAGTCAGCAGTCGGGTGGGGTCATAGGAAAGGGATACTTGGCAGGAGCAGCCCAGAATGAGCATGCTTCCATCTCTTACAGCACAGTCACTGCAAGCAGTGTAGGACATCCTAACAGGGGAGATGACAGTGAGCAACAGAGGCCACTCTAAGATGACCACTGGCACATGCTGTCCTGGAAGGTACAGGTAGGATGGTATCACATGAAAGCTGCAACTGGGTCAGGGGGCATCCTGCTTGCTTTTCTGTCACTTGTAATTGTATAGCCCCCTTTAATGACTCAAAAATCAGCGACATCTGTCTCTAGAGTTGTGTGACAGAAAGGTGGCTACCTTAACTTCTGGGCTAAGAACAAAGAAAGGTGCGAACTGATTTTGCTCTTTAAGAGAGAAAAGCTAAGGGAACAGACTGAAAAGATGGTTTTGTAACAATGAATATAAACGCAATGCAAAAATGCCAGCATCCTAAGACCAGGCAGCCGAGGCGCGTCTGCAGTCAGCACTCCTGGTTTGCGATGATGCGTCTCACGGTCTCTACGATGTGTCTGGCGCTGATTCCAAACAGGTCCAGCAGCTCGCTGGGCTGCCCGCTTCGTGGCACTCCTGACACTGCCAGCTGGTGGACCAGGATGTCAGGCTCCATGGCGACAGCTGCACAGACAGCTTCCCCAATGCCGCCTGCGGAAGGAAGCGAGAGGCCTGCAGGTCAGCCTGAGCGTGCACCGACTCGGAGACCTTTGCGTTTCCTGCTTCCCTGGGAAAACCGCTTTTCATGTAGCCAGTCATTCTTTGACTGACCAGAGTTCCCACTGAAAACTGTCTCCAAGTCACCCCCACTCCCGCCTGGACCTGATGAAAACCAACCATGGAACTCTGCAGAAGGGAGTCCACGCAGCAGACTCGAGGCTGCCCTCCTCAGAAAGGCCAGCCTGCGAGGTGGGTCCTCGGCGGGCTGGCAGTGCTGCACACTCAGCACATCTCCCCAAATGACGAGGGTGGGCCCTGTGCCGTGACTGTGCATATGATATGGCTGATGTGGGACTCCTGCTTTCTGAGTCTAGGATCTGGGGCGTACCAGGCAGAGGGAGCCCACGGGCAGCACACAGGGCATTAAGTCCCTCACGGGCTCACCTGGGTGGACACACGGCCCTCAGGTGCCTGCAGAAAGGGGACTGGGGGGTGCGGGGTAGCTGGCTGGCCTTTCACGGGGGCAGGGAAGAGGGCACATCTGTCTGCATGCTGCCCACCCTGCCGGGCTCTTGCCCTGGCGGCTCCCGTCAACCTGAGTCCTGAACACCACACTCGAGCCCTCCCAGCCAATCTCCGGCTGTGGAAGGGACCTTGGGCACCCCCATGAGCTTATGGCGCTGTTTACTCTCCTCCTAACCTTCCTGCCTGCAAGCACCCAGCCCGTCCGCAGGTGTACACTCTGGATTTCGTGCTCACCACGTGTGCCGTTTTTTACATACACACACACACATACGTATGTATGTAAAACTCCTTGCTGTCTAGTTGGATCTGACTCATAGCGACCCCTCCTTGGGTTTCCGAGGCAGTGTCACTACGGAAGTAGATTGCCCAATCTCCAAAAAACAAACTCACTACCTAATCTTCCTTCTGAGGAGTGGCTGGTGGGTTTGAACCGCCAGTCTTCTGGTTAACAGTCAGGTGTCTTTGGCACTGTGCCGTCTCCTGGCGTAGTGGAGCTCTGACTGCTGCACTGGGGCTCCTGAACAGATCTAATAATCATTTGGAAATGTCTGTTTGCTAATTTCATCATCTTTGTCATTTATAGGTCTATTTACTTACTTCTGGTTAGCAGTCAAATGCCTTAGGCACTATGCCACCAGAGCTCCTATATATAGAGTGAGTGAGCGAGAGTGCAAACTAGTCACCGTTTAAAACTCCAAGGCAGCTGCTGAGTTTCTCAGGAGCCCTCCCCTGGGTGAGCCACGCCTGTCTGCTGCCCCGAGCTACCCTGGGGCCCTGTGCTAGGGACCCAGTCTGGGTGTGTGTGAGAGACCAAATCTGAGCTCTTGCAGAGAGCAGGCCTGAAGGTCCACTGTGTGGGTGGGTGACTGGAGGTGGTACACAGGAGTGGGGCCGAGCTTCGATCCAGGGTGACACTTCCTGCCAAAACACATTCCAAGAGCCACACACCTTCTTGGTAGTGGTCCTCCACGGTGATAACATGGCCGCCGGTGACTATTGCACTGGAGATGACAGTGGCAGCATCCAGGGGTTTAATGGTAAACAGGTCAATGACACGGATAGGAATGTCTGGAGAACGAGAAGCCAATGTTCGCTGAAGCCGACTAAGATCGCAAACGTGAAAGGGCAGCGAGGCGGCCTGAGCCCTCCCTCCCCAAGCTGGCCCCACAGTGGTCACAAGCACCCAGCTTACCTTCTTGGGCAAGCTCAGCGGCAGCTGCTAAGGCTTCGTGCAGAGTCACCCCAGCTCCGATAACTGTGACCTTGTCGTTGATGCTCTGGCGGATGACCTGGCAAGGCACCCGAAAATAGTGCTACGGTCACTATGCTGAGTGCACCTCAAGGTGCAGGAACCCCGTGCCACTGCCGCTCCCCAATGCCAAACCCACTCGTTCATAACACACCAAACCCAAGGGCTGAGTGAGACGCGTGCCTGCGTCTCATCGCTAGTTTCAACTGACTATGCTTTTATTAGACACAGGTACAGAATGACTCAAAGAGATAAAGAGGCTGGATTGCAAATCGACTGTCCAAAGGGTGGAGGGCCAGAGTGCATCATGCAGGCCCCTGCCTGGGAGCAAGGGCAGCACTGCCTCGAAGCCAACAAGGGCTCCCCTGGCTGGTTGGCAACTCTGGCTGGTGCACATACATGCAGGCAGGACTCCAGTGACTGTCCTGATGCTCACAGTGACCCCCTCACCTCCCCACAAGGGACAAGCATTAATGGGCCCATTTCACAGATGGTGAAATGGAACCTCGGAGTAGGGAGGAGGTTGTCCCAGGGAGGGAGGGCTGAGCCCAATGGCCAGGCCTGGCTGGTGTCAAGGCCCCTGGTCTCAGCTATCTGCTATTTTCCAAGCAGAGATGGAGTTCCTGGTCTTTCTCCATATAGTTTTGTTTCCTCCAAAGCAACCCACTGAAGGTACCTGGAATTCTTTATTTCACCTGTTTGTAGGGTTTCCCGTAGCTTCAGACTGACTGCTGACGGTACCAGTATCTATGTCCCTTCCGCAAGACCCAGCCCTTACTGAACCACACCACGCGAGTGATCACACACACCGTCACCGTCAGGAAACGTGCTGCTTCCATTCCTGGCCTCCGAGTTACATGTGCCATGCTCTCTGCTCTTGTTTAGCCTGAGGCTGTGACAAATTAGTCAAGCACCTGGCGTCTTGCACTGTGACTACCCTAGCTTACGAGTTCACAGAGAGAGGCCCTATTTGGACAAGAGAACAGTCTGCTTCAAGCTGAAATCGGCACAATGGTCCTTCCTGAGGACAAGCAGGCAAAGGTCACAACTGATTTTTAAAAACTGGGGCATGGAAAGGACCAAGCCTCGGCTGGGAGGGCCCCCAGTGCGACGCAGAGCTGCTCAGAGCTCTCTGCACCTGACTCAACACGGGGCAGTCCTGCGCGCCTAAGCCTGACCTTGGCCTGTCCAATCTCAAAGCGTTCCTCTGGGGAATAGATCACCGCCGTGTCGGGCCGGCTGGTCCGGATGAAGCACATGCCCTAGGGTGACAGGTGAGAAAAGCAGACTGTTAATATCCAATTAATAACCCTTAAACAAGGTGGGAGGACTGCAGAGTTTTTTTTTTTTTTTTAATGAAAAACCAAGGTCAAGGAGTAGAACATCACTGACACCAAGGTCCCCTATGGGTTCCTGCCCCGAGCTCCCCACCGTCTGTCACAGCAGCCACAATGACTTAATTTTTGCCTGCTTTAGAACTTTGTACAAATAGAATCAGATCACATGGGCTCTCCTGGGTCTGCCTTCCTTCGCTCAGCAGGATGCCTTGACCCACACAGGTGGGTGCAAGTCTGGATGTACCAGAGTTTCTTCAACCATCTGCCTGTCAAAGGATATTCGGGAACACGAGTCTGGGTGCACGCACTGGTGACCAGCTCTCGGTCAAGCACAATGACAAGTTCTGTGAGGCAGTTAGGCCTGTGAACTATTTGCAGAGCTCACCACAGGTTCTCAACTTGCTCTTAGAACCCAGTAACAAACACTTGTACTCTGCTGGTGGGAGTAGAAACTGGAAGGCAATTAGGAGAACGTGTTATCATTAAAGGTGCACATTCCTTTGGCCTAGAGGTTCCACACTGAGGAATCAGTGCACTGACATAAGTGTGCAAACAACCACATGTGCAGGTAGTCGCCTCCTGTCTCACAGTAAACGGTGAAAGGTTCACCCTAAATGGAACGTCTACACGACAGCACCCTGTGAGGTCTACAGAAAAGAACAAGATTGTTCCACGTATGCACAGGCAGAAAACAACCTCTAAGATACATAGCCCCTGCCACGGAGTGGATCCTGACTTGCAGCGCCCCTGGAGGACAGAGTAGAAATGCCCCCAGAGGGTTTCCAAGGCCGTCGATCACTTCTCTCCTTAGGAACGGCTGGTGGCCAACTGCTGACTTTTTGGTTAGCAGCCAATGCTTACACCAGTACACCACCAGAGCCCCTTCCACCCTACGTCATAAACTAGTAAGTACGACAGAGTACACAGCCACTGTGAGCCCATTGGTCCATTTTTAAAAGGAACCCTGTAGCCAAATTTTCCGTAAGAAATTCTATTCCCTTTATGCTGACAAAATGTAGTGGGACAAAACTCAAGGATCAGCACCCAACTAGCAGCACTTTCAGCAGGAGTCAGCATCCCCTTAAACGCACCTCGGCTCTGGCGGCCAAATAAACGGCGTGCTCTGTGGACACGGCATCACTCGGATAGAAAATAGTGCAATTGGGGATGGCACGAAACATTGCCAGGTCCTCCAGGGCCATCTGTGAGGGTCCGTCATCACCTGGGAAAACCACACCAAAGTCATGCACATCTCTGAACCGGTACCTACTTTCTGCCCGCCCACCTCACTACACACAAACAAGCAATGCCTCTTGCCCTGGGGTACCCCAAACTCTAACAGGATGTGCAACTCATCTAGTAATGACATCATGGCCATCCTCCTCATTTTTATGAGCTTCTAAGTATCTGCACGTCCATCTCACTCGAGAGCTCACCGTACCATCTCACGTTAGGACGCTCACTTCCTCCAGGATCGTTCCGTCCCACTCCGTTTTCTGTGCTCTGCGGCCAGACATCCCTCTGTTCAGGCTCCCGCTGGTCTTCAAGTTCAACAAATGGCCCTGATCCTTCTCACCAACCTCTTGGTCACACCAACTGGACCTTTCTCCCTAAGCACCTAGGACCAGCTCTGACCCTGCCCCCTCCTCCACTACAAGGCCCTCCACTCACGGCTCTTCTGTCTTCTGTCCACGGAAAGCCTTGTTTCTCAGAGTTAAGTAGTTTCACTCATTCCGTGAGATCTGTGAAGCAGCTTTTGTGCTCACTAGATACACCCTTGCAGCACTCTTGAGTGGCTGCTATAACTAAGAGTGAAGGCTGTGTTTGGGAAGAGAAATCTCAGTGTACACTGGGGTGACTTTCTCAGCTAGGACAGGGACCATCCCAGTACACACTGGCTTGCCAAGGACAACTATCTGATTCCAGAACCCTGGCTCCTCTCTGGGTTGGACCTAGCACTCTTTCTTCAGAGAGCTGACTTCAGTTTAATCTAGCATCAGGAAAAGACTTGTAGCCCTTTTCCCAGGCCTCCACTCAGCCCCCCTGACCTTCCGAGCCCTTTCTTCCCTCACTCTCTTTCCCCGGGGTGAGTGCCCCTGCTCCTTTCTGCTCACCCATGTGACCATGACTCATTCCAATTGTCTGGCCCAGACCTCCCCTTGCCGAGACTTTTTATGCAGTGCAGTTCTTCCGTGGTCAGTTGCACAGCGATGACTCCACAGGGTGCATCTCCAGTCCTCCCCGCTCACCACTGCCCCGGCACTCTAGCTGAACATGTGAGCTCTCGGATACCTGTCAGGACAGACGGCCCCTACGGGTATGTCAATGAGCCAGCTTCCTGATGTCCTCATATCTTTCTTTCAGAAACATGAGTCGCTGACTTCTCCCAGGCCAGAAACTCCTGGGCCATGCACTCTTCTTTTCACACAATTCTGGACAACTCAGTCTGGTGGAAATATCTCCTCCTTGCCTCAGACTCTCTCAGACTCCTCTTCTTCTCCATCCTCTTGCTAACTCACCTGGTTAGTACTTTGACTTCTGTTTCCTGGTGCCTCCTTCTCACCTATCCTGCTAGGTGAAGTTCCATCAGCATCACACCCTTGCGTCACACTCCTCAAGGGTTCTTGTGACCCATCAAACTAAACACGTGGTCCTCTTCATTCCTCTAAGCCCCTCCCCGCTGGTCCACCTTAAGCACAGACTGCAGTGCCTGGTCGGCATGCTGCCCTCCCTTTGTCCCGCTGCTAGTGCCAGTAAGATGCCCTTGCGTTCTAACCCCGAGACCCATGCCAGCACCACCCCTCTGCGAAGATGTCCCCTCCGCCACATTCTCACCAGCACCCTCCTCTCCTCTCCGCCGCCCCACCCGCGTCACTTCCCACCTCCACAGCTACAGTACTCTAACTGGCAGAATTCAGAAGGCATACCGACGGAAACCCCACAGTGAGAACCGGCAAGGTTGATGTTGGAGTGAGAGATGGCTCCCATCCGGATCTGATCGAATGCTCGGCTCAAAAAGGCAGCGAAGGTGCTGGCAAAAGCGATGGTTCGCCCGTGTGCGGCACAGCCCAGGGCCACACTTACCTGTAAGGCAAACAACGTTGGTTAAAACATCTGTTAACCTTACTGCCCTTAAAAAAAAAAAAAAAAAAAAAAACAACTGCCCACCACCTCCCTCACACCCTTTTCCACAGTCCCCCATTATAGCCCTGTTTTGCAAACCCCTAACTACCTTGCTGCATCCCCAAACCCTTACCGGGTAAACTCCTGAAGCCGGCAAACCCAAACTTTCTCCCCTGACCCTGCACCAGGCTGAATGCTGTGAGGAGGACGGTTAACACCTGGACTCCCTGGCCCCTTTCTGGTTCAAGGGCAGGAAGGTCCAGAGACGCCGGGCTCTAGTTCCAGCTTGTCTCCATTCCCGTTCATCTCCTGTCTTCTCAGAGCTCCCCACCCCTTCCTCTGCTCCCCCACAGATGGCACCCTTACCTTTTGCAGGAAGAAGTAAACAGACAGTCTATGCTATCTGCCACCAACTATCCCACCCGTTAGGAGGTGGAGTGGCCCTGTGTATAACCAAGACCACCTCATCCACGTCCACTTATCCTTGACCCATGTCCTTGTCTGGCTTTCTCAAGGGTATCTGTCATCTTGCAACTGTCCTCCCAGTCCCCGGCTGTACATCAGTCTCTGCCTTTCTCTTGGATCATTCTAACACTACTCAAATATGTTCTAGTAGCTTCCATCTTAACCCTCCCACCTCTGCCCCAGATTGACATTCTCTTTCACAGAAAACTTCTGGAGAGAAATGTCTATAGTTGCTGTCCCAACATGCCCATCCTCTACTCTCTTCCCAGCCTATGTCACTGAGCCTTCCACACCCACGTGTGACCTCTTAGTCGCCAAATATAACCGACCGCCCCTCCTCTCCCCCGGCCTCTCCTTCTCAGGCCCATATCCAGTGCGACAGCTTGGAGTCAGCTGTGCTCCAGTAACGGCCTCCCCATTCCCATCGCTGTTCCTGACCGTCTCCTGGAACTCCAGACTCAGAGACCTCAGCAGGCCAATGTCAAGATCACTGACCAAGATGCTGATCCCTGACTGTGTATGGTCTCAGTTCTGCCAGAAAAAGGGCCTGTGGTTCTTCCTTCCCACCACCTCATCAACAATCCCAGTGACCTGACACCCCACAGGCACACTCAGCCCCCTGGAACCATAAGGGGGTGCAGTATCCTGAATGCAAAACCTGCAAATGCTGAAGGAAGAAGACCATTCGAAAGAGTCGTGGCAGTGCTGAGAAAGCGAGTAACTTAAACATGGGAGAGCCTCCCTTTGCAAGTCGGATGATACGCAATTCTTTCAACAAAATTGAAAGAGAACTGAATAAATCTGTTAGCTCTTCATAGACAATTTTTACCAACAATTGTTCAAAGCCCCTTTGGGGATTTCTGGCTTATGAGCGAGTGATGTGCCTACACTGGGACTCCATCCGTTTCCGTCCACTAATGCGATCCAAAGAGGAAGAATTTATTCTGAACCTTTTCTCATTCAAGCTTTAAAAGTAGTAGCAACCCACTAATGCACAAGCTACTCATAACCAAGGGTTAATCCAGAAAAAGCGCCAGTGCTCGGAAGCTCACGGACACTTCAAAATGGTCAATTTCCCGGCTATTTCTGTCACACAAGGGGCTGACAGGGTGATTGGTGACAGGCTTTTGTGCACAAGCTCTCCTGCTTCCAGCTCCCCACTGGCTTCCCAGCAAAGTGCAGCAGGAGCCACTCTGAGGGTGGCCAGCGACATCTCTGAGCCTTCCGCTTGGTCTGTGCTGACGCTGCCCACCCTGGCACCTTCTGAGTCTGCAACAGCCCCAGCTCGGCCTGACTCAGCCCTGGCTGTGCTCTAGGCTGGGACTGCTGTCCCCCACTCTGGTACAGCCTGATGCTTGTCACTGAGGTCTCAGTTGAAATGTCACCTCTTCTCAGGAGCTATCCCTCAGAGCCCACTCTTACCGTCCCCACCTCTACCAGGCACAGCAGTAGCTCATACCTGCCAGTCTCTCTGCTTTCTTCCAGCTGTGAGGACAGGGGCCTGACCTGTGCTGGGCCCACCCCAGGGCAACAGCACCGCTTGTGGGCTGAAGGAACCACTGAGCGGGGGAGCAAACTCTTTGATAGGAGTGTTTTCTACTCAAAGAGAATGGCTAAATTTCAACGCCTCCAGGGCCAGGCGAGCAGGTCAGCAGAGTGGGAGACCATGGAGGGGCTGGCTCTGGGCACCCCTTTGTCATCAGGAGGGAATGCCAGGTCTGTGGCCAGATCTTCCCCTTTTTCAAGAAAATGCAGAAATTTGGATTCTATGTAAAGTGTCCTAATGTTGCATTGAAAGGGAAGTGTTTGTGCGTGTAAAGAGTGAGCCCGGGGAAGACAGCGAGGGAGGGAGAGACAGCTCCCTGCGTTAAGGCACGAGAGGGCCTGACTGCCCCAACCACGGCTCTAACTGCCCCAACCACGGCTCTAACTACTAGAGCTGCTGAGGCTGGAGTCAGTTCAGTACAACATCTGCTGGAGTGGACTCAACAGCAGGCCCGGTGGCCCTGCCTACCCATCCCCCTGAAGTGGGAATAGGGTTGCCTAGTGATGGGTTAGGAGCTCTGGTATCATAGTGCCTAAGGCACTTGACTGCTAACCAGAAGCCTGGCAGTTCAAACCCACCAGCCACTCCTCGGGAGTAAGGTTGGGCAACCTACTTCTGTAGTGATACTGCCTTGGAAACCCAAGGAGGAGTTGCTATGAGTCAGGGCCGACTTGACGGCAAATAACAACAACAACAGTGATGGGTTAGGGTTGCTAACCAGAAGGCTGGCAGTTCAAACCCACCAGGCACTCCTCGGAAGGAAGATTAGGTAGGGAGTTTGTTTTCTGGAGATTGGGCAACCTACTTCTGCAGTGATATTGCCTCGGAAATCCAAGGAGGGGCCGCTATGAGTCGGGTCCCACTCGATGGCACATAACAACAACAAAGTGATGGGTGGGGGCAGGCAAAAGAGCAGGGCCACCTTGACCTCTTGAAGCTGGCTGGCCCTCCCCATGGTCCAGGTGGCCACGGCTGAGACTCTGCCCCCGCACCTCTCCATCTGCTTCTGTGCTGTCACGAGTGGCAGGAAGGCTGGTCGCGCTGGGGTCAGAAGCCCAGGCCTGCCCCATCTACTCACCAGGTTCTGCTCAGCGATGAAGCACTCGATGAAGCGCTCGGGGTGTTCCTTCTGGAACATCTCTGAGAAGGTGGAGTTCCTGGTGTCACTGTCCAGGACGATGACTCTCTTGTTGGCATGGCCCAGCTTAGCCAGGGCCAGGCCGTATGCTCTGCGAGTAGCCACCTAGAAGAAAGGAAGAGCCACTGGGGGTTTCTTGGGATGACTAGATTTTGAAGGCAGGCAAACTTCTGCAGAACCACCACTGGCCTTGATGAAGAAAAGAGCAAGTCTGTAATCACTCAGGATATCTCCTTGGGGTCAAAGGACAGACAGCTGATTTGACACCCAGTGTGGCTCTTCTGGCTGTCAATTTCTCAAACACATGTTCTATACGTGGAGGGGACAGTCCCTCCCCCCTCACTCCTCCAAGCAGGAAAACATTCGCCAACGCCACGGTGGTCGTTTCAGACACGACCAATTCTTACTTCACCACTCAAAGGATTTTCTTCTGCTAATCGGTCTACTGTCTAGGGCAGAACAGAGATTCGTTTACAAATGGTATTTTCCTATAAACACCGGCCTTGGACATTTATTCTCCTGTCCCCCACACACAGTTCATAAAAATTTTAAAATATTTATTTTCCAAAATGCAAATACCTCTGCAACTTTATAATTTAAAAGATAGTAATATTCGCTGTAAGAAAATTCCAATATGAAAAGTATAAAGAACTGATTGACTGAGACCTCTGATTTATTGATAAGTTGTACATCTTTATGACATCAGATAAACCTGTCTTCCCCTTCCTGGTGTCTGGGTCTTATGCCATGTTTAAAAGACTCTCCTAGCCAAAAATTACAAGGGACTTCACCGTATTTCCTTTCAGCATGCTCTATGGTTTCATTCTCCACATTTAAATCTTTGCTCCTGCGGAAGAGACCGTGTTTATATTTTTATCCCAATAGCTAGTCGTCTAAAACTTTTTCACTGTGGTAACGTATAGATGACATCCTCCCACACTCAGCGCCACTGCGCGCTAACTCCCCATTCGCTCCTCCCTCGGCCTCTGGTAGCCACGGATCAGCTGGTCTCTGTGCATCTGCCTGTTGCAGACACTGTCTGTCCTTCTGTGTCTGAATGATCTCCCTCAGCAGATCAGCATAATGATTTCCTGAGAAATTCACGTTGTGTTTGTTTCCTTAGGTGAAATGCTGACGTAGTCACCTACTGAGTGCCCATTCACCTTGGTCCCTGAGGGACCAGCCTCACCAGCCCCCTCCTATTGTTGTAGTTGTTGTGGGCTGTTGAGTCAATTCTGCCTCATAGCAACGCTGCAGGACCGAGCAGAACTGTCCTAGAGGGTTTCCTAGGCTGTCATCTTTATGGGAGGTCTGCTCCACCTTGGGGTTGCTGGTAGGTTCAAACTGCTGACCTTCTGGGTTCCGAGCCGAGCACTTAACCATCGCCCCACCAGGGCTCCTCAGCCCCTCCCAGCCCTCCCCACATGTGCCAGCTGCTTCCGGCACAGCAAGCGCCACTTGTGGCCCCTTTCCTGGCTAGCTTCTCTCAGGTTTTCTTTCAAATGAACTTTAAAGCCACACCTCCAATGACAAAGACACCCAGAACCCCACTGGGCCAACGCTGCCTCCAATAACAAAGCTACCCAGAGTCTGAGACTAGACTGATTTAAAGATTAATTTAGGGAAGAAGTGACATCTCCACAATATTCAGGGTTTTTTTTAAAATGAAAATTACAAGGTCTGGCAGTTCCCTGAAAGGTTAAACAGAGAATTACCATAGGGCCCAACGGTCCCACTCCAATGCCCTCCCACAAACATCCAGAGCAGCGGCATTCTAACAGCCAAGAAGCAGCAACAACCCAAATGGTCTACTGCAAAGAATGGACTATTACTCAGCCCCAGAGCACTGGAGGCCTGAGCGTGCTACGAAGCTCATGAGCCTTGAAAACACGCTGCTGAGTGAAGGCAGTCAACCACCAAATACTGCACGATTCCATGTACATGAAATGCCCAGGACACAGCCATCTAGAGACAACACCCACAGGGCTGGGGAGGATGGGGACTGGGAAACAACAGCTAAAGGATGCAGGGCTTTTCTGATGATGAAAATGTTTTAAGATTGAGTGAGCAATAGCTGCCAGCTCTGTGAACATGCTAAACAGGACTGAGTTAGGCAGTTCCGATGGGTGAATTGAAGGTTGTGTGAACTGCGTCTCCACAACGCTGCTTATAAAAGAAAAGGTTTCTCCCTTTGTTTATTGAAGTCTTCATTCATCCAAGCACTTTTAAAAAACGTTTTCTTAAAAATACTTTTTAAAATAGCTAACGTAGACATATAACGTTCCAAAGTCATAAAAGAGTGTACAGCGGGTGCTCGCTTCGGCAGCACATATACTAAAATTGGAACGATACAGAGAAGATTAGCATGGCCCCTGAGCAAGGATGACACGCAAATTCGTGAAGCGTTCCATATTTAAAAAAAAAAAAAAAAGAGTGTACAGTGGAAGGCCCGTCTTCCTCCCACTCCAGTCCCTCCCTAGTGTATCTGTCAGAAGTGGCCAGGGCATAAATAATGGTTCTGCATCTCTTAAAGCCAATCTTTTAAGGTCTCCAGTGTTACAAGCAAGGAGCTCTGGTGGCATAGTTGGTAAGGCATTTGGCTACTAACCAGAAGGTCAGTGGTTCTGACCCACCAGCTGCTCCATGGGAGGAAGATGAGGCAATCTACTTCCATAAAGGTTTACAGTCTTGGAAACCCAATGGGGTCGCTATGAGTCAGAATTGACTCAATGGCAGTGTTTTTTTTTTTTTTTATAAGGATCTCTGGTAACATAGTGCCTGAAGCACTTGACTGCTAACCAGAAGGCTGGCGGTTCAAACCCACCAGCCACTCCTCGGAAGGAAGATGGGGCAATCTACTTCCATAGTGATACTGCCTCGGAAACCCAAGGAGGGGTCGCTATGAGTCGGGTCCGACTCGACGGCACATAACAACAATAGTAATACTTATTTTTAGTCATTTAATGTTTTTAGCTATTATAGCAGGGATCATCTCTTTGTTTTAACTGCTAACTAGCTGGTAGCATAGTGCCTAAGGCACTTGACTGCTAACCAGAAGGCTGGTGGTTCAAACTCACCAGCTACTCCTCAGAAGGAAGGTTGGGCAATCTACTTCTGTAGTGATACTGCCTCGGAAAACCAAGGAGGGGTCCTCAGAAACCCAAGGAGGGGTCGCTACGAGTCAGGTCTGACTCGATGGCACATAACAACAATAACAACAACAGCTGCTGTTAATATAAGAAAAGAATTGACTTCTTTATATTAGTTTTGCTATACATTATCTTTAGGAGCTCTTGTGGTATACTGGTTAAAGCATTGAGCCGCTAACCAAAAGGTGTATGTGGGGGGTTCGAACCCACCAGCCCCTCTATGGGAGAAAGATGACACAGTCTGCTTCCATAAAGATTTATTTACAGTCTTGGAAATTCTATGGGGGTAGTTCTACTCTGTCCTATAGGATTGCTATGAATTGGGATCAACTCGATGACAGTGTGTTATAGCTGTAATATCCGGAAAACTCAAGAGAGTTGGTGGTAAATTATTAGAAATAAGAAAGTCTGGTAAGATAGCTTATAGACCACTCATACTGCCCCTAGAGGACAGAGTGGATCTGCCCCACAGGGTCTCTAAGGCTGTCAATCTTCACAGAAGCAAAGCCCAAGCCACACCCACTGCCATGGAGTCTATTCTGATTCACAGCAACCCTAGAGGACAAAGTAGAACTCCCCCACAGGGTTTCTAAGGCTGTCAATCTTTATGGAAACAGACTGTTTCATCTTTCTCCCACAGAGTGGCTAGTGGGTTTGAACTGTCAACCTTTTGAACTGTCAGCCAATGCATTAATCACTGTGCCATCAGGGCTCCTCATATACAACTATAACACCTGCAAATGATGATAAGCTTGCCTTCTCCTTGTCAGTATAGATTCTTTTATTTTCTTATCTTATAACGTTGGCTAGCACCTCCACAGCAGGGCTGAACACCTTTGCCAGAAAATGAGAATACCTTTACCATTAGGTATGAAGGTGGTTCCAGGTTTAAGATATCTAGACCTAGATTGAGAATTGAAATGAAGGTACTTGGTTTTATTAAGAGTTTTTTAAAAAACAAACAAACAAACAAACAACCTGGAATGAATGTTGGATTTTATGGCCTGTTTTTGTTTAGCATTAATCAAGACAATCCTTTTTCCCTTCCTTTGATCTGACAGTTCAGTGAATTCTATGAGCAACTTCCTCATGGTGATGACTCATCTGCATCACTAATGTCAATTGCACTAAGGCTGGTACCTACTTCTTTTAACATATGCATGGAGTTAAGATTGGCTAATGTTTTATTTAAAAATTTTACATTAATATTCTTAAGTGTGGTTGGTCTGTAGCTTTTTCCTTTGGCCTAGCTTTGTCACTTTCTGGCGTCATAGATGAATTGGGAGGCTTTGGTCTTTCTCCATATTTGGAAATGTTTGAAATAGCTTAGGAATTACCAGTTCCTTGAAGGTTAAAAATAAGTCCCTCTTGTAATTTGGTGAGTTTAGCACTCTGGAGATACAGTTTTGGAATAGTTTTCTCACTTATTTCTATCACTATCCATCTATTTAACTTTTCTCTTTTTGAGTTGATTCTGATATTTTACGAATTACTAAAAAATGGTCCCTTCTTTTACAGGTTTCCATACCAGTCAGCACAGAGTTGTATTCTGTTTTCTCTTGTAATTCTTTGAATGTCCTCCACATCTGTGGTTATGTTCTCTTTCTAATGGCTAATGTTATATATTTCTGGTTTTTAACTTACTCCTGGAGTTGGCTAGCTAATACTTTAGAGAACTAGCTCTTACATTTATGTATTAATGCAGCTTTTTGTTTCTTAGTTGATTTTTGACGAATTGGCCTACCTTAATTCATTAATTTTTTCTCATTTGTCAAGTACATATAAGTGTGTGCTTTATTTAAGTAAATAAAAACTGATTGAAAGCCCCCATAATTCTACTTTCCACAGACAAACACAGTAATTTGGTACAACTGATCAAAATACAGTTTTCCATACCTTATGTGAATGTATAATAGCATTTTTTAAGATTTTCGGCATACAGGAAATGCTACTCTACGTTGCTTTTACACTTTGAAAAAATAATAGCATTTGGAAATGCTCCCCCATCAGTGTGTGTCTCCTCCTCATTTTTAGTAGCTCACACTATGCACTCCCTGCCTCCAGATGACACCATGGTGGTCCCTGGGGCAGACAAGGAAACCCAGCCCCATGTCACAACCCAGGGAGCAGCAGGGGACAGGTGTCCCCTCAGCAGAGCTCTCTGTACCCCCTGGGCCTTTCTGGTGGAGAAATTGCTACACGCTGCAGTGTTAGTTCACAGCACCAACACCCCCTTCAGGAAGGCCAAGTGCACAATTCATTACTATCTGCTTCTCTACAGCAGTGGGTTTGGTTTGGTTTTTTGGTTTTCTTGCTTCTCAGTTCATTTGAGAATTCCTTGAATTGAATACCTTATTCCTTTATTTTCACTGTTTCTTTTTAATTAATGGAAGTACTTAAGTTTCTACAGTTTTCTCCTGAACACTCTGTGTAATTTAGCCCATGTTACTATGCTAAGAAAACATAAGCAATGCTCAAAATGTCTCCCAAACAAAGTATGAAAATCGTTCCTTCATCACAAGTCTGCTGCCTTATTTCCAATAGGTCAGGAAGACCCTGCCTCCTTCAGGTGGGCTTCAATGTATCAGAAGGCAGGCTATAAGCATGATAACGAAAAGCTAAAAGGCTTTTTATATCCAGGGTTCAGGTTTAATTTGATTCTTTTTCAGAATTGATTTGCGTTGGACTGGCCTGCTTCCTTGTGTCATCTAGACAGTGAGTTCAAGAGTCAGCCCCACTGGGCTACCCATCTCAGAGCACCTTCGCAAGCTAGCGCGTAATAGACTGTAAGACCACAACTAACTGAAGTTAGGAAGCACTAATATGCTATAAGGCACCAGATGTTAAGACACAAACTTAGCAATAAGCAAATTCAGATTTAAGTAAGTGAAAGCAAAGAATAGAGATTAGAGCGAGTAAAAGGGAAGGGAAGGCCATGCTTATTGCTTACAAGCCCCAGTTAAACATCTAAGCGGGTTTTCATCTGTGGAGATCAGAATAAATGAAGCAGCCTGTGCATTTAGGAGGGAATTAAGGGAACAAGGCAGTTGAGGACAGGACTTACCCAATTACTAATCTCTTGCCTACCTTGTCACCAACTCTGTAAGCAGGTGGTATGGTCAGTTTTATATCCATGACATCGATCTGAGGTGAGTCTTCAACAGGAGGCTTTGGCACGAGTTCCCTGTTGGTCTCTATCTGGCTCTCAATTAATTTGATAATTGCATCTGCTCGCTCGTGGGGCATCGGCTTTGAATACCAATTTTCTGCACTTTCAACATCTGCAATGAAATAAGAAACAGTCATTCAACAAATGTTGAAAGAGTGCCTGTTAGGTTGTCACAAGACATCAGCCTAGGACTCAAAGGAGTAAAATAATGCTGAAGAGGGCCTGGGATGGTACTGCGGTCAGAGAGAACAGCCAGGCCAAAGGCCAGAGGCGCTTGAGAGGGCCACTGGCCATGGACTGGTGAATGGAGGGACGAGGGAGGGAAGTCGAGACTGAGATGGTCAGAGGCTCATCAGGCAGGGGCCTCTGGGTTTCATCCAAAGCAAGCTGGGGAACCTCTTGAGTCTTAGCAGGGGGCATGACTGCGGCAATCTGAGTTTAAGAAAGCTCCTCAGGGCAGCAGCGCAGTACCTGGAAGTGGCAAGAGCACTGGAGAGGCTACTGCAATTAGAGAGAAAGGGCGGGGGCCCGGGCAGGGGAGCAGAGGCGAGAGTGAACAGATCTGAGCTACAGGTCAGAGGCAGAATCAGCCGGAATCGAGGATGGGCTGATGTGTGTAGGGGCATGTAAGGGAGTCACACTCGTGTATTCTTCCGGACGGTGCGTGTGTGGCCCACTTGTCTGTGTGCACGCCTTGAGGTGCGGGCCTGCTCACTCACACAGCAGCACGCTCTGGCACTGCAGTCACCTGGAGCGGAGCTCAGCTCTTGCCCCCTTGGCTCCACGCCACTTTCCTGTTCTTTCTATTGTGCTAAATACTTGCATTAAGGTGCCAAGGTGGGCCATGCTCTTAAGCAATGTGACAGGTGGCCCAGATCATGTGTGTATGTACAGCCCAACTCAGAGCCCATGCAGCCTAAATGAACACTGTCACCACATAGCCACAAGTCCAGGTTTATACCCGTGGCCGCCACATGTCTCTTCCACATGCATCTCAAACTCACCCTGTCCAAAGTAGAACCTGACTGTTCGTGTCTCCTCCTGTGCCAACCTCAGACCACCAGGTCGTCCGCCTGAGGGGCAGGGGCCCGGGACTTGCCATCAGCTCCCACCCTCCCCTATTGGCTTTGCCCGCCAGAGCCTCAACCCAAGCCCTCCTCCGGCCAGGGCAGTGACATTTCTAAAAATCAATACTGGTCTTTCAAAACCCCCACCCCCATAGCTGTCCTACCTCTGGGAATCTGTCCTTGAATCCAGGACTGTTCAGTTCTGCCCAGGGAGATGTGTGTGGCAGTATGGAATCCCAGGCCCTACCTCCTCCCCTAGCCTAAGTGCTGAGAGGCCACTTTTAGCTGTCCTGGACTCTGTTCCTGGCATCTAGTGTGGGTTTCAGGTTAAATCACCATTCATCAGCTAAGGAACGTGCTGGCCAGCCCAAGCCTCCTTCTACCTCTTTGCTGGACAGAGAAACCTTTGCTTACTTGGAATTCCCCGGCCCCTGAAAGTCTTGGCCACCACTGCTGTGGGCTTCTCCCTCACTCGAGCTGCTTGCCAAAATGCCTGGCACAGTGCCTCCACGTCATGGCCATCCACCACGTAAGTATTCCACCTGTTGACCAGAGGAGGAGGCTGGCTATTAAGAGATGAAGAGTGGGGGCAGAAGAAAGAGTGCAACAGGAGGTGTGCTCACCCGAAGGCCTCACAACGCTGTTGGTAGATGGTAGTGCATTGCTCGACAGGCAGGGCATTGCTCTGGCGCAAGCGGTTCACGTCGAAGATTGCCACGAGGTTGTCCAGGCTGTAGTGGGAAGCAAAGGCCAAAGCCTCCCAGACAGAGCCTTCTGAGGCCTCGCTCTCACCCAACAGGCAGAAGACCCGGTAGCTGAAGCAAGCAAGAGAATGAGGACACTGCTTGGGGTGCACATGGGCCACTCAAGCAAAAAGATTTCATGGAGTGAAACAGACTAAGAAAGCTGCTTCAAAGGCTAAAACACAAGAGAGGAATGGGAAGAAAGCAACTCCCTTCAATACCAAAAACAGTATCCACGTCCACATTGTCCACATCATCATGGTAGGGTCCGCTCTACTTATACTGCCTCCTGTAATTTCTGATCTTACCTGTGTACTGACACCAATCTGAACAATCCAAACTTCTACTCAAGTGGCCTATGTTCTGTTGTCAACACTAAACTCCTCCACACCAGAACAGCAACATGAAACAGGAGTTATTAACCACAAGGACCGGGACTTTGGGGAATGAAAAGCAGTTGGCTGGGGGCCGACTTCCTGGTGGAGGAAGCTGGATGTGGTGGCCCCGGGGCCAAGCTGAGGCTGGCAATCGCTTAATACGGGCTGACTATTCTGACTCTCATACCTGTGCTGCTCCAGACACATCTGATCACAGGGCTGGATGAGCACAACACAGCTCACAGCAGGCCCCTCCCAGCCTGCTCTTAGAGTAGGGCTCCGGGTAAGTAGGGCCTGGGCGTGGGGTTAGGCTGCAGATTTCACCTGCAATCCTGCCAAGTACTGAGGAAACAAGGTCCCAACAACATGCCATCAGAGTGACGGGAAGTCTTTCCACAGAGCAGCTGGAGCCATTTGGGCTCTCCCTGAGCCAATGCAGTTAGGTAGCTGTACCCTGCCCCAGGCCCTGACAGAGGCTCTGTCTCAGAGAAACTGAACCAAGTGCTCTGGACTCAGGCATGCCGGCCACAGGGGAGGGCAGGAGAGTGCACAGGGTTGCAAGACACATCAACGTGCCCAGCTGGGGCCCTTCAGCTCCTCTCCTGTACCAGAGCAACAGCAGCTGGGACATGTCGTCAGAAAAGCAGGCCCTCCCATCAGTAACCTCTCTATGAGAGGAGGCAGTCAAGTGGCTTCTGGGTGAGCACTTACCTAGCCTTGTCGAAGTACTTGCCGGTATAAGCCATCCCACATGCAGCGCCTAGGCTTTGTTCCATCCAGCCTGATGACACATCCATAAATGGCAGTTTCTGTAAGAAAGAGAAAAGACCAACTGGCTCTGAGCCCAGCCATGGGATATTGGTATTGGGCCAACTGCTGGCATTGGCCTTCCACATCAGTGGGTCACCGAGTGGGATAGAGAAATGGATGTAGGTGTGACCAAGTGGGTTCAAACCACCCACCTTTTGGATGACAGCTGAATGCTTTAACCACTGCACCACCAGAGCGCCTTTACAGAGAATACAGCTTCTTAAATAGAAACTAGAAACCCAGAAGGTTGTGACGTCCCTGGTTTCTAATACCCACGTCAGCTGAGATCTTGGAAGCGGTCATCTAGCGCCCCTCTCCTACATGAACACGGCTATCACTGTCCCACGCAAAGACTTGGGCTCCTGAAGTCTCTTCTGACCAGAGCCAAAGGGCCACACTGGAAAATACCCCATCCCCAAAGGTAGCACAAAGCTTCCAAAGATACCCTGAAGTCATTCCAAAGCCTCAATAATCTTGCAAGTCAATACAGTGGCCTCCTCCATGAGCTCCTGGCTTCTCCTTACAGGTAGTCTTCAACCCAACCATCAGAGGGATCCTGTTAAAACCTAATGCGGGTCATCATGTTGCTGCTGAAGCATCCAAGGTCTTCCCTTTTCTGCCTGATCAGGCCCCCATCACCTCTGAGCTTCCCCTGCCACACCCCACTTGGGGATCCCTGACCACACAAGGTGCGAGCCTGCCTCAGGGCCTTTGCACTTGCTCCTTTGTCCTGAGATATGTGCACTTCTCACTCTCTTACAAATCTTCCAGTCTCTGCTCAAGTGACAATATCAAGGTCTGCCTAGAGTACTCTTTTTCAACTACCTCTTCCCCTTTATTCTGATCCAGAATGCTTAACCTATCTGACACGCTACCTGTCCATTTCTGGACATGGTGTCCTGGAAGACTTCTTGCCTTGGCTCCTACACTGCCACTTCCCAGCCAGCACCAAGTGGGACAAACTCACAGAAAGGCATGAGCCCCATGCTGCTTGGCTGCAAACAACAGATATGCCTATGAAACCTAAATAAAGTACTGTGGTGGTCTGGAAGAGGGTGGCAGAGGCCACCCCATACCACAGGAAGCCTCCAGCCACGCGCCTTAGGCCCTGTGGCAACTGCAGGCCTCACAGTTGGCCCTGCGGCTTTCATCAGACACACACTTGCATACTGGAGCCCACATTCCTTGCTGTACTTCAAGTGCATCTACCAGGGAGGCCTGACTGCTCTGGCTCTATCGCGCCCACCGGCTCCAGGCCTGAGCCACAGCAAGATGGCCTGCACTCCTGCCTGCCTTCTGAGCACACATAGCAGCTCACATACACTTTGTCTCATGACATTGACTCCAATTTCCCACAATGCAACAGCTCCCCTCCCTCTTCCTCTCCATAGTTACCTCTTCCCTGTGTCCTTCCTTCCCATGCACCCCGCCGAGCTGTCTCCCTATGTACACACAGCCCTTCTATTTTTCCATGATTGATCTCTCCAAGGAGTGTATCCACTTAATGTAAATGTTGAGCTCATATGCCTGTCTTTTGTTTGGTTGGAAGCCATAGAAGTGGGTTCAATTCCAGACCTAAAGGGCAGCTAGGGGCCATAGTCTCAGGGGTTCTGCCAGGTTCTATCAAACAAGCAAATCTAGCCCCCTCCCGCCTTTTTTTTCCAGACCTTGCTTTTGTAGTGTCTCTTTCCTTTCCACTATGTCCTAAAGTACTGGTATTGTATCTACTCTAATTAAAATGGTGTCCTTTCAGGACCAGGATCAGGACCAGGACCAGGAGCTCTGGTGATACAGTGATCAAAGCACTCAGCTGCTAACCAAAATGTCTGCTGTTCAAACCCACCATCCGCTCTATGGGAGGAAGATGAGGCAGTCTGTTTCCCTAAAGATGTATAACCTTGAAAATCCTATGGAAGTTCTACTCTGTCCTGCAGGGTTGGCATGAATTGGAACTGACTCAACAGCAGTGGGTTCTATGAGGGCCAGGTCAAATCTACCGAGAAGGGAAAGCTTACTGATGGGGTGGGATGCCCCTCCACATCATGGTCAACTTCCCTCGAACTCAGCGAGTTGGGTTCGCTGATGTTGCCTGCCTCTGTGTAGGTGGCACAGAGGGCTGGAGACTCATGCCCTGCAAAAGACGGGGCCTTACTGCTAGGTGGGGCAAGGCAGGGTACCACCAATGGGAAAAAAGGGCTCCAGCCGCTACCAGTCATCTGTCCAGCAGCTTCAAGCAATCCTCACCAGCAAAACCCTTTACTTACGTCTTTGTAACACAAAGAAAGAGGAACCACAATGATAAACAGAGCCCGTTTCTGGCCTTGCTGCCACATGGTGACTTTTTAAAACGAGTCTAAGAAACCAGTGTCTGAGCAGGCCCTGGACACCTGTGCCCGCTCACCTTGGAAAGAACGAGGCGGTCGTTGTTCGGGTTCTCTGGGTCTGACTGTTTGTAGCACATCGTGTGGAACAGCAACACAGCCATGATCTCAGCAGCACTGCTGCTCAAAGTGGGGTGGCTGAAAGGCAGATGCAGCACAGGTTATTTCTCACAGGCTAACGACCAGCAAGGGACAAGGCACAAAGGCTGCCTTTCGGCATGTGCTCTTATCAGAGGGGAAGCAGCAGGGCCACTGCCTCTCAAGCTCATGGCCTTGAAGGATGCAATGGAGTCCAGTAACCTCACAACCCCTTTCCCTGTGGTGTACCCATGCACTCTGGACAATTTCACTTCAGGATTCCACCCACGTGTGTATTTCCTTCCTTCCTTCCAATTCCTGTGGGATTGTCAGTGCTGAGAACATTTCAGGGAAACTGTCAAGAAAGGCCATGAAGATCCCATCTACTACTGAAAATCAGCATTTTTAGGAAGAAGCGAATGGTTAAAGACAAAGAAATTTCTCATGGTCCAGAAACTTACGGCCTTCACTGAATGCAAGGTGACTACTAGGGTAGGAAGCAGCCTGCATGAGCGCAGCAGCCTCAGTCAAAGGAGAAAAGGGGGCGTTGAAGCCACGCCCCAAAACCCTGCCCCCACAGGCAGAGGGCCAGCATTTGCAGCGTCTCCTTCCAAGCGTCTACTACAAGAAACTGGGGGCTGCACCGCTGGCACTGCACGATTTGGCTTAAAAACCGTTAGAGATCCCCTGAGAAAACATGCCCTCTGCTTAAAAGGATTAATTTTGAAGGTGAAAGTAATGAAAGTGTAAGAAATTCAAAGATTTATAAAGTGCTTCCTCGCGGTCTGGTGGCATAATGGTTAGCGCATTCGGCTGCTAACCAAACGGTCGCAGTTCAAGACCACCAGCCACTCCGCAGGACAAAAAAATGAGGCAGTCGGCTTCCACACCAACCGACAGCCTCGGAAACCCCGCGGGACAGTTGTCCTCTGGCCTGTGGGGGCGCTGTGAGTCGGAATTGATTCCTCAGCATGGGGCTTGGTTTTTTTGGTTTCCTACTGGGCCCATCGTGGGGCCTAAGCCGCCCCAGTCCCCCTCGGCCCCCACACCTCCAGAAGCCAGCAGCCCGCCGGAGGGGGGGAGGGGAAATATGAGGGGGAGGGGCAGGGACCCTCCAAGCATACCCGCCCAAACCCGGTGACAAAGGCCTGGACCCGGGCTGCTGTGACCGAGCCACCACACACCTGATTGCTCTAGGTGCCAAGGCCCCAAAGGGGCTCGAATTGTCCTCTCACCGTACTACCACACAGGCCCACGCCGGCTGCCCCGCGCCCCGTGGGTGCCTTACCAGGAGCCTGAAGCGCAACTGGCCCTAATGGCGTGGATGCGCAGGCGGTTGGCCGTGTCCCGTAGCACCTGCACCGTCTCCACATCGGGCACCCCGTGTTCGACCGGAGGAGCTCTCGCTGCAGCCATGCTGCCGCTCGCGTGGCTCGCCTCAGAGAAAATGGTGCTGGGAGCCCGCCTTAGCTTCGTCACGTGGCCTCTCACGCATGCGCAAAGTCCTCTGCATGCGCATGCGCATGCGCCCCTTCACTTACTTGTTTCTCCTGTTGCTCTCTTCGTCCCCTCCTCACGGCGAAGAGGTTTCCCGAGGGGGAGACAAAAAAGTTCTGCGAGCGGTTAGTGGCGATGTACTAAATGCCACTGAATGGTAAACTGTAAAATGGCTAATTTTGCTATGTGAACTTACCTCAATAATACAAATAAATAATTCTTTTTGTAAGAAATGTCCAGAATAGGCTAATGCATAGAGACAGAAAGCGGACAAGTGGTTGCCAGAGGCTTGGAGAGGAGAGAATGGAGAGTGACTAGCTAACGGGCACAGGGTTTCTTTTGGGGTGAGGAAAATACAGGTAGTCACCGAGTTACAAAGGAGTTCACTTCTAAAGTCGTAAGTCAGGTCTGACATAGGTGGAATACATCATTTTGTTTCCAGTTTTCATTATTATTGCCTTTTATTATCAGAATTTTTATAAATCTTTGTTTTCAGGGGTTGGAAAGATTACATATAAATTTACAGATATAATTTAACGTTGTACGTACTATGTATTAAGGAGCTCGGAGGTCGGAGTGGATAAGGCATTGGCTGGTAACCAGAAGGTTGGTGGTTCAAACTGGCCAGCTGCTCCACGGGAGGAAGATGAGGCACTCTACTTCTGTAAAGATTTACAGCTTTGGAAACCCAATAGGGTCACTATGAGTGAGAATCAACTCGATGCAGTGGGTTTGGTGGTTGTTTTTTTTTTTAATGTAATACATATTGCTAATGTAAAACGTACAACTCTCTACCCCAAACTGGAGGGTCATAAGTATGGTTTGCCATAACTTGAATACATCATAAGTCAGGGACTACCTGTAGTCTGCAGCTGGTGACGGCTGCCCAACTTGGTGAGCCTATTAAACGTCACTGCATCGTACATTCTAAAATGGTTTATATGGTGAATTTATGTTGTAAGTATTTTATCACACACACACACACAAAGTCACTGTTTCATTTCTGTCACTTCAGAATTTCTTTGTGCATCTAGTAGGGCAAGTCTGCAGCCTTTCCATTATTCTTTTTCTGTGTCTATTCTGGGTCTGAGTGAAATAAGTCAGACACAAAGGAGAAATATTGTATCATCCCAATTACGTGAAGTACCTAGAATACGCAAATGCATAGAGACCAAAGTTTCTTAGTTGATTACTAAGGGCAGGCTAGAATGGACTGCCAAAAGAGCTAACGTCTGTCCTGGAGGAAGTGTAGCCAGAATGCTCCTTGGAGGTGAGAATGGCCAGACTTCATCTCACCTATTTTGGTCATGTCAGAAAGGACCATTCCCTGGAGAAGGATGTCATGCTTGGTAAGTAGGAGGTTCAACGAAAGAGGGGAAGGCCCTCAACGAGATGGGTTGACACAGTGGCTGCGGCGTTGAGCTCAAGTATGGCAGGGATCACGGAGCTGGTGCGGGACCGGGCGGTATTTCGTTCTGCTGTGGATAGGCTCGCTATGAGTCGGAGACGACTTGACGGCATCTAACAACAACAACGGTTGAGTTCTTACGTGTCTGAAACTGTCTTTAGTCTAAGCTCACAGTTGCCAGTTAAGCATGGAATTCTAGGTTGGACATTTATTTTTCCCTCTGAAGTTGGAAGGCATTACCTCGTGATCTTCCAGTTTCCAATGCTGTTGCCGGAGTCTAAAGACATTCTGTTATCTGATTCTTTGTGTGTGACCTGTGTTTGTTTCTCGGCAGGTTTTCCCTCAGCATACCGAAGATCTTATTCAACTGTCTTCTGGATCTCACCGATGCTATTGAGCAGTCAGCTTTCAGTGTAACCGTCATGGTTTTAAAGGTAATCAGCTCCCCCCTCCATCTGCTTGTGAGACCTTGTCTTTGTCTCTGGTAGTCTGCAAATGGAGATCCCTGGGTGGGATGAATGGTTAAGAGCTCAGCTCTTACCTGGAAGGTTGGCAGTGTGAACCCACTCACAAGCTCCTTGGCAGAATGGCCTGGCAATCTCCTTCAGAAAGGTCACGACATCGAAAACCCTTGGAGCCGTTCGTTCTACTCTGCACACATGAGGTTGCCAGGAGTCAGAACTGACCCAACAGCAAATTGCAACAACAACGTTCTACAACTGTGTTGTATCTAGATGGGGACTTGTTTCGGTTTTTTCTCTTTGGGATTTGGGAGGCTTCTTGAATTGTGGATTTGTGTCTTTCTTCAGTTCTGTAAAGTTCTCACTATCTCTCAAAATATTGCCAGTGATTTATTGTTTTTTGTCTTCTCCCCTAGGGTGGCAATTAGATTTGTGTTAGACTTGTTACTCCATCTTCCATGTCTTCTAATTTTTCAAACTTCAACTTTTCTATTTCTTTGTGCCTCTGTGCTACATTCTAGATATTTTCTTTAGTTCTATTTTGCAGTTTATTATGTCTCCAGCCCTATCTAATATGCTGTTAAATACATCCATTGAACATTTTAAAACTTTTTGAAATTGTGAAAGCTGACATATGTGCATAAAGGTTCATGAAACAGCAATATACAAGCTAACATGTAATTATAAAGTGAACACACCTTCACCAACCACTTGAGTCCAGTACCCCAGCCTCCATGTATCCCTCTCCAGTCACAATCTCTCTCTTCCACCTGGTTGGAATCACTATCCTAACATTTATGGTACTAACATCCGTGCTTTTCTTTACAGCTTTACCATCTGTGATGTGTCTCTAAACAGCATCATTCATGTTTTTGCATCTGTAGTTCATTTTCATTGCTGTATGGTACTATATTGTACCGTTGACTTGCACATTCTACTGCCGATGAGTAGGTGGGTTGTTTCTAGTTGTTGACTATTGCGAACCTTACTGGATGTCTTAGTTCTAGAGAACTAGAGGGCTACTGGAACAGAAATGCCACAAGTGGATGGCTTTAACAAACCGACATTTATTTTCTCACAGTAGCGGAGGCTAGAAGCCAGTATTCAGGGTGCTGGCTCTAGGGCTGTAGCGGAAGGCTTTTGCTCTCTGTTGGCTCTGGAGGAATGTCCTTGTTTCTTCTGAGCTTCTGCTCCTGGGCGATGTTCCTGTGGCTTGGCATCTCTCTTCCCAAATCCAGGCTTCTTTCCTCTGAGTGTTTCATCCCTTTTATATTTCAAAAGAGATTGATTCAAGACACATCCTACACTAATCCTGCCTCATTAACATAACAAACACAACTCAGACCCAAATGGGATTATAACCCCAGGCATAGAGGTTAGGATTTGCAGCACAGATTTGGGGGGGCATAATCCAGTGTATTTGTCTCCTGGTGCACAGATGCACATTTTCCTAAGGGATATACCCAGGAACACTGTTGCTGGGCCATAGAAAGCATGTCTTCAGCTTTAAGATACGCTTTTTCAAAATGGTTGTACCGATTTACTCTGCTACCAGCTGTGATTGAGAGTTCCTGTTACTCCATTTCCTTGTCAACACTTATTTTTGTTAGTTTGGCAGAGTTTTGCTGATCTGCTGGTTGTGTCGAGATATCACATTGTGTTTTTCCATTGGCCTACAAGGAAATACACAGAACCAACGTGTTAATTACAATGTGATCACTTCTGACCTGGGAGATTTTCAAGTGTCATACTGTCATGAAGGTGCTGATAGTTTCCAAGGAGAAACTGAACAGAGGTTCCACCTGATCTGGCCCCACCCACCTGCCCTAGCTCATCACCCTCCACTCCACCCCTGGTTCACCGTGTTCCAGTTCATCTTCCTTAGATATGAGAAAAACAAGACTCAGAAGTCCATTAACTTCCCCAAGGCCACATGGTGGTCGAGCCAGGATGTGCACTGGACTGTGTCTTGAAGGTGGTATTCACCACGCGAGAACATTCTGTTCAAATATGTATTGAACGAATGACCTAACTTGTTAGAATGCGAATCTTCCTGCCTACTGCTCTGATCCCTCCAGCAGTAGCAATGCAGCAAGCCATATTGGTTCAGGTTGTTGTTGGTTTTTGTTGTTAGGTGCCGTCAAGTTGGCTCCGACTTGTAGTGAGCCCATGTACAACGGCGTGAAATGCTGCCCGATCGTGCACTGGCCTCCCAGTCCTGGCTGTGCCTGAGCCCATCCCTGCAGCCACTGTGTTGATCCAACTCTGCTGAGCCTCCACTTTACCAAGTGAGTGCTGTTGATGACTAGCAGTGACACTGTCTGGTATCGGTTAGGATGAATGAGTTTATTCTGTACTTTGCAACAACAGGGCTTTGTACAATGAGACCCAAAACTGATAAATCTTGGAAGAGAAAATAAGGGAGTGGGGCTCTAGGGGTTTGCTGGGGGCCAGAGTAAGGTTCCCTCTGCAATGCACGGAGTAGGGTGCCGAAAGGATGGCACAAGGGCATGGAAGATGAACTCTCTTGCCTCTGTCTTGGGCACAAATCTGGCATGCCCCGACACACGAGTCTCTTTGCAGATTGAAGCCGTAATGTGTCCAAATCGCCTACAGTTGCAGCTCAGGCAAGTGCCTCTTGATGGTTTCTTATTTCCCACTGCAGGAAGAAGACCTGAAGAGCCAAGGCACAATGCTCCCCTCCAACACTGCCTCCTGCAGGTCCATGCCATCCAGCAAAGGTGGCCCCAGCGGCCACTCCAGCCTCTCCAACATGGAGCCAGGTCAGAGCGTGCAGGAGAGCATCAGGCACCGCATCCTCTGCCTCACCGAGCAGCTGCAGGTGGAGAAAGCCAGCCGGGATGAGTACATCGTGGGCTACCTCAAACTCGTGTCCAAAGCCAACCGGCACCAGGCACTGCACATTCGGCAGGCCTTCGAGAAATTGAACCAGCGCGCCTCCGCCACCATCGCCCAGATAGAACGGCGGCTCCACCAGTATCACCGGCAGCTGCAGGAACTGGAGGGGGCCTGCCGGCCGAAGAGCTCCATGCTCAAGGCCAAACACAGCCTGGACAGTTGTGAGCAGCCGAGCTCTCAAAAGGCTCTGGTTTTGGAGACCCCCAGGTCAGGCGAGGAAGACAGCCTGGCCACTAAGCTGTCTGAGGTCACTCCGGGCAAGTTCCTGGAAACGAAGCTGGAGGTCCAGCAGGGCGACCTGCTTGTGCACATGAAGGAGGAGCTGACAGAGGTCAAGAAGCTGTACCTCAGCCTCCAGGCGTCCTGTGAGGGCCTGAAGCAGAAGTCTCAGGCCGACCTGCAACTGTCACTGGAGGCCCTGCAGGAGAAGAAGTGCAGGTGGGGCTCCCCTTCCCCTGGGCTCCCTAGGGCTGGCTATGGGAGGGGGAAAGGGAGCCCGAGAAATGAGCGGGGAGAGTCAGGTGGGAGAGTGCAGGTCTGTTGGTGGGGTCTCGATCCGGGCCACAGGTGAGGTGGGTGACCTTCCTCCTATGACCCACTCCGTCCTTACATGCTCCCTTGGTAACAAAGCCAGGCCAGTCATGATGGGTGCTGGCAGGGGTGCGGGGCCCAGAGGAGGTCGAAGCTGACTTCGTGGTGGCCACAGTTGGCGTGTACCTGAGGAGCCCTCCTGCTGTCCTGGTTGGTGGGGCCTCATTGGCCCGCTCCAGGCTCTCTCTACCTGGCTCACAGCTAAGATCGGGCACAAGATCAGGTATCGGGTATTTGTTCACAAACCGCCTGCCTCCTGGCCTGCCTCCTGTTGAGCTCTTTCTCACTACTGGCTAGAGGATCAATTTGCTTGTAGTTGAGGACAAGGCTAGGGCCACCAGCAGAGACAGAGCCAACAAGAAGATTTTGAAAACCTCCCCTGCATTCCTATTGGGATCCTTCTCTGGGTGCTGGTACTTATTGGGGTGCTACTCCTTAGATTGGGTTCACGTGATGCCTGTGAATTATGGTGTTGGTGAAGAATATTAGGGAGACCATAGACTGCCAGGAGAACAAACCAAGCTGTACTGGAAGCAGTACAGCCCGAATGCGTCTTGGAAGCAAGGGTGGTGAGACTTCGTCTCAAGTACTTTGGACATATTACTGGGAGGGACAAGTCCCTGAAGAGGGGTATCATGCTGGGTAAAGTGGAGGGTCAGCGCAAAAGAGGAGGACTGTCCATGAGCTCGACGGATGCACACAGTGGCTGCAACAACGGGCCCAAATGGTGGTGACTGTGAGGATGGGGTGGCAGCGGCAGGGTTCCTTTGTTGTACAGGGTCACTATGGGTCTGAACCGACTCCATGGCACCTAACAACAACAGTCCTTAAAACACCTTGCAAAGGACGGCTCTTCCCATTTTTGTGAGACTTGACTCAGCGTTTGTGATTTGAGTGAAAATTTACAGAGCAAATCCACTTTCCATACAGCAGTTCACATACACTTTGTCTCATGATATTGATTACAATTTCCCCCAATGGTATAGCTCCCCTCCCACTTCCTCCCCACAGTCACCTCTTCCCTGTGTCCATCCCTCCCTGCACTCCTGCCCCCTGAGCTGTCTCCCTGTGCACACACAGCCCCTGTTTCTCCCATGATTGCTCTCTCCCAGGAGTGTATCTACCTCAGGTAACTGTTCAATTCGTATGCCTGTCTTTTGTTTGGCTGGAAGCCACAGGAGTGGGTTCAATTCCAGACCTGAAGGGCAGCTAGGGGCCATAGTCTCCATGGTTCCATCAGGCTCTATCAGACCAGCAAACCTGGTCCCTTTTTAAAAAAAAAAAAAAAAAAAGATTTTGAGTTTTGTTCTGGGAGCTGATTTTCATAGGCCATGGCCACGCAAACAAAATCCTCAGGACTGTTTCTGGGGCCAGGTTCACGGAAGCAAACACAGAGTGGGTAGCAGCTATGAGTCTCCCCGTATGACTCCCCGTTGCACAGGAAGACTGTCACACTAGGCAAAGCTCTCGCACCTTCAGATCAGAACGTTTCTCTGTAAGCACCTGAAGGGGAGCATGGCGCCTCTCCCTCGCACTGCCAGGCCTCTCTTGTGTACTGTGTGGGCATTCGGGATTTTCCGGTAGTTCTTACAGAAGTCAGTCTGTCCTCATGGAGTATAAGATTAAACAAATTTGAATAATTTTAATAAATTCCTGTAAAACATCTGTGGGAAAAAAAAGAAGTTAGCCTGTCCTGACTAATATATAAGCAAAAGAGCGGGTCCATAGACATGAAGAAAGGGCTGCAGGAGATTTGAGGAAGGAACAGTGGGAACAAGGGGCATGTGGTGCCTTTCTCCTGGCTTCTCAGACCTTCACCCCATAAATGGGCGATGGAACACTCAGAGAAAAACCAACTTAGCAACGTTTGGGGAAGGGCGCATGGCACTGGGTGCACTTTGTTTTCGAGAACACTGCACTTTTTCCTTCGGGATTGTCTGACTTTGGCTCCCAGGCAATCGCCATTCCGGCGAGTTCTTTCCTTTCCTCTTCACTGGCACTTCCCCCTGCTCCCCAGGGTCCTCGCTTTGAGGAGTCGACAATGTTGCCCACTTCCCTGCCCCCCACGTGAACCCACTGCCCACACGCTACTTGGTCAGGCCTACATCCATTTCTATCTCGGACTTTTCCTCCAGGTTGCAGAGCAATAGGTTCTCGTTCAATTCTCCAAAAGCCACCTCTCGGAACTGATCAGGTGAGAATGTGCTCTGATGAGAAAATGGCATAGTTCCGCACAGCCTGTGTCGGAGAAGGTGGTCTCTACAGCTTTGGAAGGCTTGGTGGCATTGGGTTGACTGGTTTCCATTGTGTCTTCATAAGAGCATTTTCCATAGTGTCCCATTTGCCTCTGTGACAGTAGCAGCTGGACAAAGAGGGGTCCTTGACTGAGGAAGAGATGATGTGATGGTTATGTTTGTGTGTCAGCTTGGCTGGGCCTGGTTGAGTGGCTGGGCAGCTGGATGTAGTACTCCCCATGATGAGACTGGTCATCAACTCCATGGTGGAATCTACTGGGAGCAGCTGAGTAGCTGCCTTTGGGACTGTGGTCTGCTTCCTGTATATAAGAAGCAGCCTTGGGGAATGGTCTCTAGCCTATGGCATGCTTGGACCCTGCATGTAGCGGTGTCAGTGTTCAGCAGCCTGCCATGCTCTGCTGACCTTGGGACTTAGCATGGACATAAGTTAAGGGCCTGCCGTGTGGTTTGGTAACATCGGGACTGTGCCTTTTGACTTGTCAACCTTGGGGCTTCTCAGCCTCAGCAGCCAGCAGCTGTCTGAGTGAAGAAACGCCTCTAGCTCCAGTGGGCCGGGAGCAGGAGGCAGAGCTGGTCCCCAACGTTGAGGGGCTTTCACCCAGCCCCTGGAGCTTGGCACTTTGAACTTGGACTTAAAGCCTCCAAATTGTAAGAATAAACTCCTGTTTGTTAAGGCTGTCCCATTTGTGGTGTATTCCTGTCAGAGCGGCCCCAGGGAAGCAGAACAGATGAGGAGGGAGGGTCAGGCCACCACAAGGAGACTGAGAGAAGGTTTGGATGAAAATAATGGCTGCTCTTATCTTCTTCAAGAACCATGGCAAGCGCATGTTGCTGTATCCTTATGGATAATATTAAGAAAGAATCTATTCGCTGACTATTCATATTCATGAAGAATATATGTACATAGGAGGATAGTAAGGAGGAGTCTATGACCAGGGTGGCTGTCCTGCCATCACCCCCTCTCAGTTAGTAGTAGCCTAGGCCAAGTTGTCACCTGACTCTCTCTTCAGCAGGGATCGAGGGCAGAGATAAACAGAATCTAATATTCCTTAAAATGCTGTTAGGAACTGGCTTTCGATGAATTGGCTTACAGCAAGGGAACATTCATTCAGCTTCTTAGTTGCCTAGTGGGGTCGCTCAAGTCTTCAGAGCACGATCAAATCAAGCCTTGTCTTTAGCCCAGCTGTGTGAGTGGCACCGCCGTCGGTGCAGTGGTCCTGACCGGGAGTCGGCAGCCATCCTCAGCCCTACTGTCAGCTCGTTCTCTGCTGCCTCCCCTTGGCTCTTTGCTGAAGGCCACTGCTAGGCCCTCCTCACAGCCGCTGGCCTCTGCTGTACTGGTCTGCCCTTCACCAGGCCCAAAGACGGGACTTAAAAGGTTTTCTTTCTGAACTGTTTCAACCCAACTGATTCCAACCTTCACATTTGCCATAGTTGCTTCATATCTTGGGTTTTTTTTTTTTTTTTTTTTTTTAATATGTTATGGTTTGGGTGAAAGGTTACAATTCACATTAATTTTCCATTCAACAATTTACACCCATTTTGCCTGATGCTCCTTGCAACCCCCTCAATGTAATAGCACTCTTCCCACTTCCTCCTTGGCTTCCTGGTTTCCATTCGTTCATTCGTTCATCTTTCCTGCTCCTTCCTGAACCTTGTTTTTGGGCAAATGCTACCCTTTAGGTCTCATGTGGTTGATTGTTCTAAGGAGCGCTTTCTGCACAGATGTTATTGTGCACTCTAGAGACCTGGGTATTGTTTGGCTGAAAGGTGGCCCTCCAGGGTTGGTTCAGTTCGAGGTCTCTCCAGGACCTTCTTTTGTGATCCCAATCAGAGGGCTTGGTGGTGGGAGCAGGACACCATCTAGAGCTTCTGGTCTCAGGCTAGTGGAGGCTGGGGCTCATGTGGGACATGAGTCATTGGGACCAGTTGTTTTCTTGAGTCTTTGGTTTTCTTCATTCTTCTTTGCCCCAGATGGGGGGAGACCAATAGTTGTATCTTCAGTGGCCACTTGTAAGCTTTTAAGACCCCAGTCACTACTCACCAAAGGAGGATGTGGACCATTGTCTTTGTGGAGTGTATTATGCCAGTTGACCAAGACGTTTCCTGAGGCTATGGTCCTAAACCCTCAAGCCCAATGACTCATTCCCTTGAGGTGTTTGGTTATGGCTAACAGGTTTGCATACCTTTGCCCCCATCTGCTCTACCTGGATATATTTGCAGCACATACAAATCCATATGCAGAAAGAGCTTCTGCTAAATGTGTATATGGTTGTGGGTGTGCTCCCATAGGCCATCCCACGCCTCTGTCAGCAAATCTTTATTTTAATAAATAAACCTGTCAGACACTTGGTTGGTACTCTCTTCTTCCCATTTCCCAACCCCATTTTCGTGAGAATATTCCTCATTGTCTTTGGTTCCCAGACATGCTTATGTATCTACCCGCTGACAACATGACATGAGCTTTTGCTGGTGTGTGTTTTGTTTAACAGCTCTATTGAGAGATAATTTACATCCATAAAATGCACCATTTAAAAGGAACATTTCAATGGTTTTAAGTAAATTACTGAGTTGTGCAACCATTATTATCATCCATTTTTTTACAACAGCTTTATTGAGATAAAATTCACATACCATAAAATTCACTCTTTGCAAGTGTGCAATTCAGTGTTTATTAGTACATCCACAGAGTTATACAATCAGCATGACTAGCTAATTCCAGAACATTTTCATCATCCCCAAAAGGAGACCCCCACACCCCTTAGCAGCCACTCCCCATTCCCTCGATCCCAGCCCCTGGCAACCACTAGTCTTTTCTGTCTCCATGGCTTTGCCTATTCTGGGCATTCCACACAAATGGAATCATACAATATGTGGCCTCTTGTGACTCTGCTCAGTCCCTGTAGTCAGAAGATTTTCATGAAGTAACTACTGTACGCCAAACACACACAAAAAACCAAATCCACTGCCATCAAGTCAGTTCCAACTCATAGCAACCCCCATTGGGTTTCCAAGGTGGTAAATCTTTACGGAAGTAGATTGCCCCGTCTTCCTACCGTGGAGTGGCTGGAGGGTTTGAATCACCAACCTTCTGGTTAGCAGTCAGATGCCTTAGTCACTGTGCTACCACAGCGCCTGCCAAACACAGGTGCTGGGGATATACACGGAATTAAATCATCTACACAGATAGTTTAGACTTGGATTTTTACTGCTTCTAGTCTAGAGCCCTTTGTGCAAAGCTGTTACAAAACAGTATGTATAAAATATCTATGAGTATGGGGGTGCGCACGTGCGTGGATGACACGTATTTGGGGTGCTCCCAGGAAGACCTGGAGGAGATGGTTTGGCTGGGACTTGCAGAGAGAGGAGGAGGTGAATGTGAGGCCAGGTCTCATCTGGCTGGGGGGGGGCTTACCGTCAGCACAGACTCTGGGCAAAGGACTGAGAAAGTGTTTTCTTTCTTGTTTGCTCCCAAGACAACAGTTGGTGGAAGAGCAGGTGAATGAGCAGCTGCAGGAGTACCTGGATGAGATTTACCACCTCAAACACAATCTAGCCTGCACTGAAGAGAAAATGGCCTACCTGTCCTATGAGAGAGCCAAGGAAATATGGGTGAGAACTTCCAGGGGGGCCTGGAAAGACAGGGCCGTTGAGAAGAATATGGGGCCTGTCATCTGTAAGAGAATGAATTCTAATAGTCCCCCCAAAAAAGGAAAGGGGCATCCTTAACTGTCCCCATCTGTAGGGTTCAAGGGCAGTATATTCATTGATCTCAGAGCATTTGGTGTCCAATCTTTATGGCCATGATCGGCTCTGCTTATTTGGTAACTTAGAAGGGCAAGTCTCACACTCGAGGCTGTCCTGGACTTGATAGATCTGGGATGGGGCCTAATGAGTGCTATGGGCCACTCAGCGTGTGGTGAAGTACCCTTCCCCCCAAAACTGTTGATGAGATAGGCTCAGTCTCTTCCCTCCCCATCCTTGGGTGGCTGTCTCACAGCCAAGTTCTCAGTTACAGGAGAACCTGGCTGTGAGAGTGAGGCTGAGGCCAACGGTCCCAAGGTGGGGCCCTTGGCAGCAGGCTTCTTCCTCTTCTCTGAAAATAATCAGCTCAACTTGAACACGTGGAAAAGGCTCTGGCCTCCTTCTGACACCACAGTGTGTGTGTGTGTGTCACCTGCAGGAGGTCATGGAGACTTTGAAGATCCAGATAGCCAAGCTGGAAACTCTTCAACAAGTGGCCCAACTGGAGATGGTGGACAAGCTCAGAAGCCGTCCACAGGAATTCCTGTTCAAGTTCATTAGCCTGCTCCTCACCTTGGCCACCATCCTCCTGGTCTTCATCTCCAGTGCGTTTGCCTGCCCCTGGCCCCTTGTGAAGACGCGCCTACGCACATGCACCTCCCTTGTGCTCATAGGACTTGGGGCACTGGCCTGGCAGAAATGGCACGCCATCTCCACCACTGACTGGCAGGCCTGGGTCACCTCTAAGTGGAGACTCTATGCCAAGGACCCCAAGCCTCTATCAGAGGGAATGTAAGGGCCAGGAAGGCCACATGTAGGAGTTTCCTAGCTCCGTTCCCCCATCTGGTGAGCCTCCAAAGATGATAGCCTGTCTTCAGCCCCCCATTTCTGAGTCCATAACCATGAGCCTGGTGAGATTTTGGCACCCACCCGGCCACCTCACACTTTCGTTCTCCACAGCCTGTTAGTGTCACCTGTAGAAATGAGCGCTGGAGAAGATTAAAGTCTGCCAAGTGCAGAGGTCCTCGGTCTTTTCCTGTTTATCCTCCGTCCTTCCCTTTGAGACCAAACTGCTGCAAAGGTGTTCCAAAGGACCTTGGCTGCCTTTGGGACATTGTTTGGGGGGGGGAGGCAAAGAGAAAGTACATTTACTTCCCAGGGGGAGGAGTCGTGACCAAAGCCCCAATGGGTGGGACAGGGAGAGGGAGTTATTTATTTCCTGAGGGAGGCAGAACCCTTTGTTGTCAGGGCTGGGGAGACTCATGCAGGTGAAACTGAAGAGATAGATGAGGCCTCCGTTTTGGAGATGCTGGAGAGTTCAGAACTATCCTCCACCTTCTTCCCAAAAAGCTGCAAGATGCAGTTCCGAAACTGGAAAGAGGGCAAGTGTTAGTCAACAGGGTAGGAAGGGCCAATAAGTCAGGCAACAGGTAACGCCTAGAGGGCCAGCGAGATGAGGGAAACCCGCAGGGAGATGGCTTGACCCACGAACTGCAACAGTGGACTCAGACATGCCAACTGTCATGGAGATGGCAGAGGCCCAGGCAACATGCTGGTGCCAACTTGATGGCAACTAACAACAACAGCAGGTAGTACCTGTGGTGTTCTTAGGAAGGGATTTGTTAAGTGCCACCTTGATGCCCCCAAACCTTTTCTTCCATCATTCAGGAGCCTAGACAGAGATGGGACCAAGGCAAGGCTATTCCTTGCATTCAGAGATGGTCTGTTTCTTATGCGTCAGTCATGTGATTTAGCAGCCGATGGGGACCAAGCCGGTTGGGGGCTCACACATTAACTGATCGTCTCCAGACGATCTGGGAAGAGATGCAGGCATTTCCATTCCACCAATTTTAGGGAAAGATCAACAATAGTCTAGCCACCTACCTCATCTCATTAGCCAAAAAAGACCCTTCCAAGAGGATTTTGCTATCTGCTGGCTGGCCCCTAAGGACATCTGGGCAGTAGTAATTTCTCAACTCATATATGGTATCATCACTGAACCAACTTTTGAGAACCCAGAGCAGAGTGTTTCCTGAATACCCTAGACCTATTTGTGATGATCTCCAGCTCCCTCTATCATCAAAATGCTCAAAAAACAAACAAACAAACAACCCTGTTATAATTAATAACATAAGAAGTGGTCTGAACAGGTGAATGGATTCAGCCGAAAGCTGGCAGTCAAAGCTGAAGAATTCACCCGCCAAATTAATTGTACATCAAACTATCAAGCACCCACTATGGACCAGACACTGCACTGGGTGCTGAGGATACAGCAATGAACAAAGGGAGCAAAATCCCCTGCCTTCATGGAGCGTATGTTCCAGGAACTTTTCTCAGAATGAGGCAGAAAAAGAGAGGAATGTGGAAAGTGGGAAAGCAAACTGGGAAAGCCTGGGGAGGTCTCCAAGTGCAGACATCTGTCTAGCAGGGAGAGTTCTGGAAGGGGAGAGTGGAGAGAGTCAAGTAAAGACAGCATTTGGCAAGGTGGCCTAGAGCTCCAGCAATGGAAAAACAAACCGAAAAAGAGACCCGTTGGAATGGTGGGAACAAAGGCTAGGGCGTCAGTGTGTCACTAATGCAGTGCTTGGCAGGTAGTGGTGGGACTGGTCCTATTTGATGTTTAAACATTTCCAGAAATAACAAATGCTCAGTCAACTCTGCAGACACACCTGGCTTGAGGGCCTTTGTGTGCGTCGGGGGCCAAGCCTGAGGGACAGGAGAGAAGAGCCCTTGGAGGGGCGGGTCCTGGGCAAAAAGTGAGGCCCCCCCGTCACCCTCAAGTCCCATCGCAGCTGCTTCTTCATGAAGAGGACTGATAGAGTCAGGGAAGGAAAGGCCACTTGTACTTACAAGAAGATGAGTCTGGGGGGGCACTTGTAATGTACCAAGAGGGCCTGGGAGACATATGCAATTTGCCATTGGGGCCCAGTGTGCCAGCTAATGATGGCTGCCATCATTGGCAAGACCTTGAACTAATGCACAAAGTCCCGAGAGTCAAGTCAGCTCAGCTAGAGAAGGGCCCAAGCTCAAAAAGTTAGAAATGGGAAGATAAAGGTTTAGGGATGAGGGGAGTCTATAAAGCCAAGGAGGGTCTAAGTAGGGTAAAGGTAGACATCTCACTAAATCCTAGTGCGTTTGAATTCCCAAACATGACCTGACACATGATGGCACGTAGACCACAGAGGGCAGTGACTTCCCTCCAGGTGGAGGCATGAAAGGATTCCAGAAGGGTGTAACGAAGCTGCTGAGGACTGTTGTGGTGGTTGTGATGTGCCGTCGAGTCGGCCCCGACTCCTAGCAACCCCTCCTTGGGATTCCGAGGCGGTATCACTACGGAAGTAGATTGCCCAACCTTCCTTCCGAGGAGTGGCTGGTGGGTTTGAACCGCCAGCCCTCGGGTTAGCAGTCAAGTGCCTTAGGCGCTATGCTACCAGAGCTCCTTAACAAATTAACTGGGGTGGGAGAGTTAACTTAACTCTTCAAGGTCATTGTCCTGGAGGACCACCATCAGGGTCCCTGCAGCTTTTCGGTGGGCTCTTCGTTCAAAATGTGATTCCCAGTGGGGCTGTTCATTGGCCAGTTCTAGGGTGTGTTTCTAATGTGATCGGGCGGTGACATTACCTACCTGCCGGTTCATAAAGACATAGATGATGGGATTGTAGATAGTGGCACTTTTGGCAAAGTAGGCTGGCAAGGCTGCCGCCAGAGGGTGGAAAGCGTAGCCAGGGTGGGCAGTGGCGAAGCACGCGAAGAACGCGTAGGGGCCCCAGCAGAAGCAGAAGGCCAGGATCATCACCGCCACCATGCGCGTCACCTCCTTCTCAGCCTTCTGCGTGGACTCGGATTCTTTCTGCTGCTTCGCCACCTGGAGGAGAGAGACAGCCAGCCCCAACCCCAGTGAACAGGTGACGACATCCGGAGCTCTGCCTGTGAACAGACTCTGTGTCACTATGACTTGGGCAGTGAGTCATGGAGGCAGTGACAGGTGGCCTGGGGAGAAGGAGTGTTGGGGAGAAGGGCCACACCCCGAGTCAGTGTGTGACCTGCCTGGACAGACTAGCTGGCCCTCGGCCTGGTCTTGGGAGAGTTCTAGGCCTGGCTTCACGTGCTTCTGGCGGCGGGCAAGGAAGGGGCCCTGGAGGCTGCCCTCCTCTCCCACCTGCGTCCTCGTCCCCGGCTCCTCTCCGGGCTCGGTGAAGAATGCTGGGGCGAATGAGATGGCAAGCGGTGGAACAGAGGCGGTGAGAGCGATTGGCGTTTCTTCAGCTGAAGAAAGGCCAGCGGCTAGCAGCCCTGGGAGCCTGCCTAGAACAGGACTGGCCCATCAGCACGCCAGGCCCATTCCCTGGCTCCTTGGGAGGCCAGGCCCGCTTGTTCCCCTTGAGGCCCACCTTATGCACAGGAGATGGAGGGGCTCTGGGCAGAGGGGCAGCTGGGGAAGGCAGAGGTAACTGCAGCCAGGGGGACCTACCGCCGCCTGGGCCTGAGAAGGCCGGGTTACTGAGCTGTGTGAGCTGAGACCCACCAGGGCCCAGGCAGTAAGGGAGCAAGGCTGCCAGCAT